TGCGTCTTACCTGTTCTAAAAATCGCAGGAGTGTAATTCTCTCGTGGCGCAACTCAGCGTCCCTGCGTGCGTATTTGTACAGGTCAGTCGCGTGTAGGTTTGGACACGTGTTTGGTAACGAGTTGCGGGGCTTTACGCTTAAACGACTGTGCGAAAGAACACGTCAGGCGCCAGCAAGGTTCTTTCCATTCCCCTTGGCGTGTGATGGGCTCATAGGCAACACTACTAAACAAAAGAGATTCCTTGTTACCAAGGACCTGATCATGACAACTGCGGAACTTTACGCCTATGAGCTTTTGGTGTGCTCAGAATCTGAGAGAGTAAGAACCACTGAGAGGAGTGATGTATGTGTCAGCAGAGAGACGAGAGTGAAGAGTGCGCGCGTGTGTGTGTGAGTGAGAGAGAGGCAGAGAGAGCGTGGCTTTGTGTGTGTGTGTTGTGTGTGTGTGAGTGTGTCTGTGTGGCGAGGATAAGAGGAAGGAGGGGTGTGCGCTGCTTTGTATTCTGTGTGATTGTAGACAGAGAAAGGAGGGAACCAGAGAGGGAGTGAGTGTAGTGTTTCCGAGAGAGAGAGCGCACTTGCTGCGCGCGGCGGACTGGTCGTGAGTGGAGACCCGGGAGGGAGCGTGTTGTTGTCTGAGAGAGAGAAGAGGCAGAAGAGAGAATACCTGACGACGGCAGGTTGTATGTTGTTCCTGAGAAGGACAAGCCAGAGGTGTGTGGTGTGTGTGTGTGTGTCTGTGTTGTGTGTGTATGTAGAGAGGGTGCGACTGTTTGTGTTGTTGTGTGTGACGAGAAAAGAAACTAGCGAAGAAGATCACGGCGCGGGCTGTGTGTGTGTGAGAGAAGAGAGAGAGAACGGCAGGTGTCGCCGTGTTGTATGTGTGTCGTGTTGTTGAGACAGAAGAGAGAGAAATGTTGTGCGTGTTTGTGTGTGGATGTGTTTTGGCGTGTGTGTGTGGGAAGATTATGAGAGAGGAAAGAGCAGAGACAAAGAGAGCAGCGAGGTAGTGCGTGTTTGTGTTGTGTTGTGTCGACAGAGAGAGAACCAGGAGGAGTTTGTAGTAGGTCAGAGAGAGCAAGAAGAGACAGAGAGAGAGAGAGAGACGAGAGACGGAGAGTTACCGCTACCTGACCAACGTCGTCCGCACCATAAAAGTGTGTCGTCGCGCGCGCGTCCCGACGCCGACGCCAAACGCGCCACGTGTGAGTGTGTGTGCTGCTGAGTAGAGTGTGTTCTATGCTGATCTGAGAGAAGAGGGTGTGTGGTGTGTGATGAAGAGAGAGGGGTGTGTGTGTGTGTGTGTGACGAGAGAGAGAGACGGAGAGAATGGGGGATCTTTGCGTTCGTTGTGTTGATGTTGATGGGGACGCAGAGGAAGAGAGAACCAGAGCAGGGAAGTGTGTATGTGTAGCGAGCAGAGAGCACGAGAGAAACAGAGAGGGAGGTGTGCACGCGTGTGTGCGAGTGAGAAGAGGAAGAGAGAGACGGAAGACGCATGTGGTTTGTGGTGTGTGTGTGTGTTTGGTGTATTGTGGTGTGTGAGGTGTGTGTGGGTGTGTGTGTGGTGTGTGTGTGAGGGAAGTGAACCAGAAGAGGAGATGGTGTATATGCTTTCAGAGAGAGAGAGAGAGAGAGCGGTCGCGCGCGCCGCGGACTGTGGTAGTGGTAGAGGGCGGAACTTAACGTCTAGCAGCGCTGAGCAAAAGCCGTTGGGCCAACCCTTTGCAAATGACGTTAGCCCAAGTTGCAGTATGACGTGCGCCAACGTTGGCAGTTTTATGACGTATTGGGCCACAACGTTACTGCAAGCTTATTGACGTAATGGGCCAACGTGGGCAGGTAATGACGATCGTGGCGAGTTATGACGTCTGCCGCCAAACGTTGGCAGTGATTTGGGACTGGCCAAAGTTGACGTTATGACGTACATGTGCCCAACTGGCAATATGAGTTGGCCAACGTTAGCGGCATATTGACGTTGGGCCAACGTGGCACATATTGAGCGTTGCCAACGTTGGCATAAAATGACGTTGCGTCAACGTTGGGCAATATGACGTTGGCCACTTATGCAATATGACGTTGGCACGTTTGGCCAACGTCGCTAGCACGGTTGGGCCGTATGCCCAACGAGCACAAATCGACAATTGCGGCCCACGTTGGGCAGCCACGTTGCCCAACGTTGCATGAGGCTGTAAGACCAGCCGTTTGGGCAACGTTGGCCAACTTCAGCATGCTATGCTGGGTTAGCTCACGTAACGAAGTTATCTAAGACATTTTATATAGTTAAGTTATCTACTCGACAGTTGCTGTTCCTGCAAGCAATACGGTAATGTCGTAATGGGGAAACATGATTAATGTTTACGGAAAAAATACTATATACACACTATAATAATTAAAATCCACTGATCTTTTAAACTACTTGCCTTTTCACGATTTCAGTTGCAAAATTGATATACAAGAGTTAGTCAATAAAACATCCATCGTAGAGACGCAATCAAGCCACGGCGCTGATTGGCAAGCAATAGGGCGAGACCAAACAGCAAAAGGATCTAGTCTTATCCCCGCTGTCATCGCGTCAGCCTAACGCCAGCAGAGGGAAGCAGTGTTCCGACTTGCTCTAGTTGTTCTTGGCACTTCCAAGTACGCTCCGAAAACAAGACTCCCGCTACAAGCTGTCAGAAAGCCGGCGATATACTCTCGGTAAGGGGAGTAGTTAAATTTGGTACTACAGTTAAAGGTGGAGATTCCTCAACTATTCAGAGCGGCAAAACATACAAATCAGGCAAAATTAAATTAGTTATAACATTGCACGTTAACTGTTAATATGCTTATATTGTGTGATTAGGATAAAAAAAAGCCATTGCTCCGGAATCCTTCATTCGAAGTTGTAGACTACAAAGTAGAGACTTTATGGGTTGAATGTTATTGCACCATCGCTTTACATTTTTGAATGCTAACATGCGCGCCATTTTTGTTCAGCTACCGCCACTGGCCGTGTTATGTAATGTAGAACCATTGTAATACAACAAATAGTAATGTATTACAGTAATATTGGACTTACAATAACCAAATTTAGATCAAGGTGACGGCGGCAGAGTCTTGTTTCAAAACGCGTCACCGGACCGCAACGACCGTGCGGCCATCTGAATTCTTTAGCAATCATATTTCCGTTGGACCCTAATATCAGACATGCATTTTTTCACTGAAATACATCATCATATTTAGGTTTGCAAGTTCAAAAAACATATAAAAAGAGAACTTATTCAATGTTATTATGGTTCAATATTTACGAATATGGCAGCAATTAGTAGATATTAAACAATCGCGCGGTGGCCAACCATTTTTGGATTTTCCATGCTTTAACGGCGATTATCGTTTCATGAGCGAATTGACTTAACGAGTGACGTTGAGTCGCGAATCCCTGTTCAGTCATGCTGTTACGTTCGAATACGTTTTCGTTGGGTATTTTTATCACGTTTCCATCTCGAAAATGGTAACGAAAATTCTGACAATTAAACATAAACAGTTTCGAGTGACCTCTATGTCTAAGACTACCAAGTTTGATTTTCATAAAATGATTATATAAAAGTTATGACATCCTGAAGAGGCTGCCATTGGACTCTATTTGAAAATGATGTTGCTCAAAATATAACATATAGTGCGCGCTACGGAAATCCACAGCGAAGCGTTTTCAGAAGTTGTTTCTCGATGAGCAAAATATAGGCTTGTATTACATTATTTTACAGTTTAATTTCAAAGCTAACTGTTAGTTTAGTTAAGATGATACTTCTACTTAGTCTATCTCGTGTTTATTTAAGCAACAATTAAGTGGAGTTCGAGGAAGCTACCTTTAATATAACTAGGCATCCATGCCGAATTTTGCTGATATATAAGTTGAAGACTGAGACGTTATGTCCCCGGTGTTACTTGCGGAATTACTTGGTCGGTCGGTTTAACGAACGTAACCATCCAGGTAACATCTTAAATATGCCCGGACCGTAACTCGCTAGCTACCACTCAACGAGGTCTATAGACGACTTAACTATTTATATAGGAGTCGCCTACGTATAGCCTCTCCCTGAAACACCTAACCCTTTAACCGAAAGAGACCGAGCCCTACACCTAACCCTAACCTAATTCAAACCTAAACCATCATCAATAGTGCAGGTACGGTTGCGGATTACGTAAACCAGGGTACGTTCCGGTATACCGTACCGTACCCAGGGTACATTCCGGCAGTACCCTGGGGGACATAGACCCTATGAGCATAAGTGAACCCCATATGATATTAGGATGAGAAGCTAAAGCTTACAGTCAGTGTATGCCGTATGGGTTGGTGAGGGGCAGTTAGTGTATACAATTCACAAAACTGGGTGCCTGGTTACAAATATTTGGTAATAAGTGACCCCATATGATATTACCCTGATATTTCAGTGGGAACTTTGGTTTAAATAGTCTTAGTAGGGTTTTATTTGTGGAGGTATTAGAAGATGAATTATATGATGATAGTACAAAAGCTTCAGATAAATACATACTCATATTTTAGTGTATGGGTATTAGTATATGTAGTGTATGTATGTGGAAATGTATAACTTTGTTAACATAGATAAAGCATTATAACCATTTGCCTGACATGATCGCAACATTATGACAACAGGCCTTTTAGTTTACCACATTAAAATATTACAAATTAAGTGCGATCTCTTATTTTCATCATAAGCTGTTAGTTTTGGTAAACATTTCATTTGTGTTTAGTAACAGTGCAGCATTTGGATTTTTCGAACTACGCTTGTTGAAACTGTAATGCAGAAATAGTGAGATTTCTCTATAAAACTTAAGAGGTAAAGGATTAAAAGTCTATTTGATCTATTATTTGAACAGCAACAGCAAATAATGTGACTGTGAACTGTACACCACATCATTACTATTTTTTTAACTTAGATTCAGATGGTTTATGTGTAATCATGAGTATACTATAACCATCATGCATGTGCTTCAGCATCCGAATCGACCACAAAAAGACAAGGAACGCCAAGGAAGGCCGAACATTCACGCAGAAAGCCAAACGATCGCAATGATGACTGCTTCAATCAACATGTTTGTGACATCATAGAGAGCGAATTTGACTTCGAGTATAATCTGTCATTGTTTGACAAGGCAGCCGTTTTTGAAGAAATCAACTCGCAGCTGCCCAATGAAGGCCTGCGGCTAGTAGAGTGCAACAAGCGGGTTCCGAAATACAGGCACGATGAAAACGTGCTAGAAAACGTGCCAGCAGTTTACCGCCAAATTACAGCTCCATCGCACCCAGATCAGGAGTATTACACTGGTGAGTTGCATCTTATAATTTATTATCATTCTCAGTGTTTTTGTTCATAAATGGTAACAGTTTAATGTTACTCAGTTTTCTTATATAATTGTTGCTATTGCTATCATAGATGCAGTAGTCATCCTTACAGTATAGCTTCAATTTCAGGTCGTGGAATTTCGTGCATTTTCTTACCCTTAATTATCATGTAATTTTCTTGTGTATATTAAACTAGGTAGTAGTATATTAGTTAATAATCTTAATAGTGACTCTAATGTTTGTTTGTTAAACATGATTTTCTAGAAAAAAATATATGAAAAAACCATGTTGTTAAGTGCTCGATGAAAAAACTCCAGTACTTTTGTACTTTTGACTTTAGTATAGTGCATTTTATCAACTTCTTTGCTTGCAGACTCTGGACTTGTGATTCCCAGTATATCGTATAGTCTGCGTACTCGACTGCTCTCAGCAGCTGAGAAGTACGGGCTGAGTGTACCACGGCAGTTAGAGATGGTCGGACGTTCTGCTAGTGAGATGGCCCTGCAACTGCTGGGTGGCTGTCACAGGTGATTTATTTGCTACCCAATTAGGGTTTCTGTGTATGCTGGGATATAGCCAAGATTGATCTTTTCGAAGCATATACAAGAGTCAGTACTTGGTCAGGTTCCTCAAGTTTTATGTGGGTACATGTACGATAACTTTTATTACATCAGGTTGAGATGAACTCCCAAAGGTACTTGTTGTTAATTTGTTGAATGTTTGACTGAAAATCGTGGTAGGAAGTGAAGATAATAAAAATTCATTCACTAGCCATGTGGATATTAGTTTAGGGCTTTGCATAGGCAGGGTTCGTAGCGGGTCTTCCAAAGTCTTATAAGTACTTATTTTGCTAAAAATAAAATAAGGGCCCTTATTAGTACTTATTTTTGGTGAAATCTTAGAAAAGTACTTAATAGTCCTTATTTTTTGCCAAAGGACCATTTTTCAACATTGTTTTATAAACTGTTCTCGACTTAGAGTAAGAATTGTGTTGTATATATAATACGGAATAATTAAATCTAATAAATAATATCTAATAATTTATATATCTAATATATATCTAATAATAAAGTCTTATTTTGGCCTCCAGAAAGGGTCTTATAAGTTCTTATTTCAACATGTGTCTTTCTACTATGAACCCTGCAAGTGTTAAAACCATATTTTCGAAAATTGTCTAGTGTTTTCCCCACTTTTATGACCGTTTAATTACCTACCGTTATTGCTTGAGTAACAGCAACTCTCTAGAGTAACGATAAAATGTATTAGAACCTTCGTATTCACCAAAACATGCAAGTTCGATTACCAGCAAGCCTTTTCTTGTAATCTTGGACCAGTTATAGTAGCACTACTAACACCATCTATCATCCATAGACTTACACATCTCGTGCAAATTGCATAAAATCTTGTATTTTTCAAGTTAGTGTAATCAGTGATATATCCACTGTGAGGTGAGACTGTTTTGCTATGTTTTTTTTGGATTGAGCATTTCTGAGCAAAAGTCTCGTATTAAAAACTTTACCTTTTGCACGGGTATTGCTCTAATGAAGATTAATAGTTTATTGATGAATGAATTCAATCAATCACTTGTTTTATTTATAGAGGAGATATTATATATTTATATATAAGAGAGATTATATATATGAGAGATTTATATATCTCTATGCTCAAGCCAAAACCTCATTCCAGCACCTAATTATGTTACCACACAAATTTAGAATTTTTATGTAAAAATGGTATTTTGGATATTTCTCAATTACCAGAAAAAGTGAGGATACAAAATTTTCGCCACATGTTAAGCACAATATGTACCAAAATAGCGCCTCAGAATTTTTCTTTAAGTTTCATATTTACCAAGAAAAATGAAAAAAAATGCCTAAAATTCAAGTCGCACGTTTGCATTTAAAATTTTAGCGAATAAAGAGACATAACTCATAAAATACTGCACTTAATAGTAACAATCCCTGACGCCCTTTTTTATAGCAATATGTCACCATTAAAACGAGTGTAAAATTAAATTATTCCGAGTTGTAATCACAGAGAAATATCCATTTATACATCGACTACTATGTCAGAAATCGGAACGGAGAAATCGGCGTTTTTCTATTTTTCACAATTTACCGTCTTTGTGAGAAATGGGTGAACGTATGTGAAATATCTACGGTTAGTACTTACTGTGACATATCCATGACTAACTGACACCACTAAATTGGTAAAATGTTCCATGCACCTTTTCTTCAATTCTGAGAAATTAGGTTGTTACCATCGCAGAACGCTCGAACACCGCTCATCCTGACGTCACAAAGCTATGTGCTTTGCTGCACCGCTCATGTCAACAAACGCGCGCCTTACAGTAAGGTGTGTTGCAAGGTGTGAGAACTATTTTGGGCATACTTGTTGGATCACTATCAAATGTACATGAATGTACATGAATACATGTAATGACAGCTGTAGCAGGGTTGACGCTGAATGATACTGGCTTAGTGAATATTGTGGTTGTGTCATGTCTCTGACGTTAAGGATACTCTCAAGGTTTTAGGAAAAATTTTACCGATATTTTATTTTCAACTGTATTCGATGGCTAACACTATGTGCCACCTGTGTACATGCTTATTTCTCCATATATAACGGTACATGTGAACTGTCAGAGCGTTTTGATTGCCCGCGTACATGTTTAGTGAGCCGCGGCTGACGTCATAATGACGTCAGAGACATGATTCAACCAGTGTTATGATAAATAAATTTGTGTGGTAACATAAATTAGGTGCTGGAAATTTCATTAAATTGTTTGGCTTGAGCATTGAGATATATCTCCTCTATAAATAAAACAAGTGATTGATTGGATTCATTCGTCAATAAACGTTTAATCTTTATTAGAGCAATACTCGTGCAAAAGGTGGAGAGTATCCTTAAATGTTGCATGATCAATTTTGTTACTTTTGTTATTAGTATAACATATTTCTTACAATTTGATTATATGCAATCAAGTGTAGTATAAGTCCCACAGAATGAATGGCATTTATCTGGTATCCATTAGTACCATGTATTATGGTGACCAAAAATCAGGGAAAGGCTGACATTTTATTACATAAATCACTGAAGTTCATGTGGTACGTAGTAGTGACCTGAAAATATTTTATTTTAGAATCAATCCCGAAAATTCGCATCAGCGGCCAAGAGCAGCAGTGCTATGTGGACCTCACATGCAGGGTGCTCAGGGAGTTAGCTGTGCTCGTCATCTCGCAAATCACAATGTTGACGTCACGATCTTCATTCCCAATGCGGTGAAGGTGATCAATTGGCTGCAGGAGGAAATGAATCTGTTCAAATGCACCAGTGGTGTGCATGTGCAGAACATAAAAGGTGAGCTGATTTCGAACACGTGAGATATTTAGCTCTTACACCTAGCAGGTGGAAGTGTTGTCTGGTGATGGGAATTGGTTGGAATTTGATAATTGATTATTCGTTACACCAAGCCGATTGATAATTTATTTTAATTGGACTATTGGTTATAATCATCGTAGTTTAATTAATAACCTTATTTTAGCTGGCCTAAAATTAAGAGAGCTAGCCTATGTTTATATAGTATTGTTTCATAGGTGTGTTAATGTACTTTAAGCAAACTATAACGTCTCAGAATAATAAGATGTATGTTTACGAGACTTGTTTTAACATTATCTTTATATTGTTAATGAAATTACTATGATAGTATTTTCAAAATGGTTCTCTTATCGTATAGACAATGGGAATACAACCTTACTATAATATAATATGGTTATTTGGTTGTAAACATGAACAGCTGTTGTTATTTCATATTGAATGAAATTTTCAAGAAATATTTAAAAACTACTGTCATGATAAATCACACATTTAGCATTTAGTAAGTTCACGTGGCTGATATGTGCAGTCAAACCAGCCATTTCTTCTATTTCTGCCAGGCATCTGTTTGATTGTTTGTATCTTAGAGATCGAATAAAACAACTTGTGTTTGTGAATCGATTTGATAAACATCAGCACAATCATCATAAGAACAGGCTGTTTTTATTATTTTGATTATTAGTTTTCATAATCAGTTATGTAATCAATGGCTGTAAATTATCAACTCTTAATTATAATCAATAACTGGGACATCATTGGTGTTCTAATCATGTGGTTTTGGTTTATTCACTGATTCGTTGTTCAGTAACTGTTTTTCAGTAAACCAAGTACGTGTCCTGCCCTATCAACAAAATGTCTGATACAAACCTCATCTTGGCATAATACAGACCACTGTTGATTAGAAAATATCTGTTCTCACAATATTGTGAGCATTTAGATGTAGTACGTAAATCTGTGATTCTACTTCCAGAGATGACAAGTGGTTCTGTTGATATAATCATCAATGCTCTGGACAGCCATGACAACGAACAATTGCATGCAGAGTCATGGTACAAGGCTGTAGTGAACTGGACAAGAAGTCATCGTGCGTCTGTACTGAGTATTGACCCTCCAAGTTATGGTGTCGCGATTGAGGCCAAGTGGTCACTTTCTATTGCCTTGCCACTGCCGCTTCAAAAGTCTGTGGGCAAGATCTACCTGTGCGACCTTGGTTTACCAGCGAGAGTGTTTACTGAGCTGGGGATCAAGTACGAGTCACCATTTGGTTCAAAGTTTGTAATTCCTTTGCATAGCAGCGAGTAGAGTGTGTTGAAAGGTGGTAACATATATAGGGAGCTAGAGTAGCTGTTGATGTTAAACGTTTTTAATTATGGAGGGTATTTTTTGAGAAATGTCAATGCGGTCAGGAATTGGTCTCATGTAAACTGAATACTCTACATGTTTAGGATGGGAATATGACATGTTGTGCCATTGATTTGTCATCAGGTTGACTCATCACGCCTTTCTTATTAATGTTGTTTAAGTTACGTCATGGTGGCCTAATCTTTGCCGGTACTGAAGTTGAACCAATTTTTATAGTTACTGCAATCTATTCTGTTATGTGAAATGTATGTTTTATTTTTAGCAGACTGTTAAGGGGAGCAAGCAACTGGTGTATTAATGTTGCTGTGGTAGCAAGAAAGTCCTTTGGATACATACTATTATTATATAGCTATCCTAGGGAATAAATTTCCTGAGCATACTTGCCATTATTTCGTGATAAATTCAATAATTGGGATGAATTGCAATGTAATTGCTCAAAACGAGTGTATTTTATGTTCATGATAATGCTACGAATAAATATAGTGATGAGCCCTAATCCCCCAATCTCTAATCTTACATATAGCTGAATTAAGCATGAGTATACCAGATCTCCATGCAAAATCTACCCATTTTGGTGTGCTCTGAAATGATGTTTTAGCGTATGGTGGTAAGACGTTAGATCACAGTATGCAAGATTAATCTGTATGTGAAGGCATCGGTTATAATCAATAAAAAGTTATTTGGTTGCTACACACGTATCAGTTGCAGTTACAGCTGAGCAATTCTTAGTGTAATACATGTCAGAATCAAGAGTTATTTTCATCTACTCTTCAGCATTAACAAATAAATGACCATATGTTTTTTTTATAGTTAGAGACATGGTAAGGTTAGATATGTCAGTGAATTTAGGTTCTTAAGAATCATTAATTAAAAATATTACGTGCAAGTTTGTTCAATTAGTATTAAACCCAGTTAATTTGTATGGTTACTACGACACTTATTATCTGTATATAATGACGACCCTATATCCACTTCCCGGTGACACATTAAAGGTTTTAAAACATTAAATTTTTAATAAACGATAAACGATTTTTTTTTATTCGATACCTTGTCCGATCAAGGGAGTTTTACATGAATCGACTACGACTGTTGCTTTCTATGCAATTCGCATTACTCCTTATTAACTTTTGCAGCGTCATTTATAGAAGAACTTGACTCGTTATATACATGAACATCATTAACGGAGTGCGAGAATTATTAGAATATACTGATTCTAAACCATGTCTGTTGAGAGTGGTATTAGAGTGCGGGCACGAGCGAGCTGTGTGCTAGTCCGGCCCCGCTGGTCTTTCTCAGCGAATAGGTCTGATAATCTTTATAGCTGCTAAATTGTGTGACTAGGGAATTAGCACTAAAAAGTGAAGTCAGGGTTCGCTAACAAACATTCTCAGTATTTATTCCACACACTAGATATATATGTATACATTACAATGCGCTGCCTGACTGCTTCCCGAATACTGTTTAAATTATATATATGTATATATAGGTATGACGTACCGTACCGATGCTCTCCGTGAATGCGCTTTCGTTATTTATTCACGTTTATCCATCCAAACATAATTGAATGGGCGAATTAATTTGATTATAAAATGACATTGTTTTCGACGTGTATTCTATTTCTATGAATGCTGTCCATATTAACATAATAACATTCAGGCCCGTAGCCAGCTTTGTATTGGGGGGGGGGGTTCGTTTTTCAATGTTGGCAATTTGCTCGGCAGGGGCGTGTACAGGATTTGTACCAGGGGGGGTCTAACCGTAACCCGAAGTTGCGAGCACGCGAAGGGGGTGTCTGGGGGCCCTCCCCCAGAAATTTTTTAAAATTACACCCCCTCACGTATGCGTTTTTACTGCGCGAGGCAAGGGTGGGGTTCCGGAACTGCCTGGGACCCCCCTGTACACGCCCCTGCTCGGCGCGAAGCGACCAGTGCGAGGGCAGCCAAGCGACCGAGCGGGGGGGGGAGGGTGCCGGGAGGGGGTGTTCACTTGTTCACTGCTCCCGCACGATTGGAGATTTTGAATTATTACATCTAAAATAGAGCGTCACCTGATGGTGAAATTCCTTGCGCAAAATTTAAAAAAAAAAATTTTTTTGCTTGGGGCCGGGGGGGGTTCTTTCGAACCCCGAACCCCCCCTGGCTACGGGCCGCTGCAACATGACACATAACTTATAACCCACATACCATAATACATTCATTACTGCTAATTTAATTCCAATTTCATTTACACCCATTACACATATTTCTTCCCATCATCACCACATCATTCTCATCATCATTTTATTTTTTATCAATTCATTCATTTTTATTATCATCATCATTTCCATTTTTTTGCATTCATTTTTCCCCCACATTTTCCATCATTCTTCATTCGTTTTTCCATTATTAATTCCATTTCAATTCATTGTATATATCATTTCCCATAAACATTTTTTTCACCATTAACCACATTATCTTTTTTCATATTATTACATCTTCCACTTTTATTTACCGTAACGTCAATCCACCTATCTGTTTTGCTACTAGCACTACCTAGCTACTACCTAGCTGTTTTACTACTGTTGTCCACCTAGCTGGTAGCCGTACTAGTACTAGTTGGTGCTAAGTTCTGGTATAAATGCGTTCACACGAGTTACACGAGATTCGAGGCTTAGCTAGCCAGGAATAATATAGACTGGTACCCGGTCGACAGTTCCACACGCTACACTAACGTCGTGCAGCGAACGGGTACCAGTCTAGGTGAGCAATACGCGGCCAGCGTGGTGCCGAATATACGCGGCTTATGCCCCAGTCACACATACACGACGCACGGCCCGCGCACTGAAAATCAGCAATTTTGGCCAGTGCGTTGTCGTTCGCTGGGTGTGCGTCAGCATTCGTTACTCGTTCGTCGAGCGCGCTGGACCAACGCTATGTTATCGTTGTCATTCGCTCGTGCGCGGGCGTGTGCGTCGGGATTTTTGAGCATGTTCAAATTGTGCGCGGAGCTCGACGCATGAAGGTACACGCCAGAATGACGCCAGACACGCGCAGGGCGCGCTGGACCAACGCCAGACCCACGCGGAGCACACGATGGTATTCGTTGTATGTTCGTCGGCTGAGGTGTAGCGAACACCTAGCGCCACCCTAGCGCACACCTAGCGTGCTTCTAACGCATGTCCAGCGAACATGCAGCGAATATGGGCGTGCTGAACGAGTGCTGAACGAGTCTGTAGCGCGGCCAGAGTTCTTCTAGCGTGTTTCTAGCGTGTACGCAGCTGTAGCCATGGGTATATAAACGAGTCTCGCCCCACCTCCTCATCATCACTTCTCCTCCGACCCTCATGGTGATGACAGAGATTCCTGATCGTGTCTAGAAGAACTACCTCAGAAGATGGAGGATCCCGACAGGCTGCGACTACAATACGAAATCGCGGTTCTACAACATCAGCAGAACCTCATGAAACTGGCACTTCTCAAGTCCATGTCATCAGGAGAAGGAGAAGAGAAAGAGGTCAACGAGTTCTGGTCCGACCGTTGGAACGGTAGGCGACGACAGTTTGGCCTGTATGACCAGCTACTTGTTGAATCCGTAACGAAGACTAGGCAGCCTTCAAGAACTTCATGCGGATGCCCCCCGAGACGTTCGACGAGCTGCTAACCAGAGTGGGTCGAGGATCACCAAGCAGAATACCACCTACAGAAAGGCCCTCGACCCTGGCTGAAGTTGCCCTCACTCTGCGGCATCTTGCCTCTGGGACCAAATATCACTCAATGTCCTATGGGTGGAGGTGCTCACACACACCATATCCCTGCTCATCCCAGAAGTGACCTGTGGTTGGCTGTGCGTTGGATGTGCGTGGCTGTGCGTTGAATGCGCGGTGCATGAGCGCTAGCAACCCGCTGTGCATTCGTTGGATTTTTTAACATGTGCGCCCTGTATACGCTCTGTATGCGCCCTGTATGCGCGCAGCGCGCTAGCAACACGCTGTGCATTCGTTGTCAACTCGCTAGCTTCTCCCAAATCCTGACAAAGTTGGGCGCCACAACGACGCACTGATCTATTTCCATTTTTTGATTAATTTTCAGTGCGCGGGCCGTGCGTCGTGTATGTGTGACTGGGGCATTAGATGGCGCGGAATATGATTCCGCGCTTAGCAAGCCGGAGCATTCGCGGCTAAGCAAGCCGTGGCTTAGCAAGCCGCGTATATTTTAGCGTGTGAACGCAACTTTTCTCCTCGTGTGAACGCAGCTTATATATTGATCGATTGATTGTCTGTATGCCTATCCATATATATATAATATATATATATATATATATATATATATATATATATATATATATATATATGGTGCATCTCTTTTTGCATGTGTGTGCGTGCGCGCTCGCATGTGTGTATGGTGTGCGTGCATGCATGAATATGTAACCGTGACACCTGACACAAATATGTTTTAAGTGACATTTTCTCCTAATATGAAACCATAAGCGCCTAATGCCGACAAAACAAGATAGCTCAACCACAGGCCGAATAGTATAACACCCGACAGCTTTTGAATGCCCATGGTCCTCGAGTTCGCCTCCAGTACCTAAGCAAAACAAAGATATGCATTATTATAATCTGATATAAATACACCAAATTATATTAAAACGCGCGCGCACGCACACACACACACACACTACTACGTTTACTTATATATATATATATATATATATATATATATATATATATATATATGATATATATATATTTATTTATTTATTTATGGTTTTAGCCGTTTAGTAGCATACCTTTCGGCGTAGCAATAGTGTAAGGATGCACATAAAACCCACGCCTGTGAAAACCGACACGGACAGTTCCAAGCTCTGTGTTGGTACGACGAGCCTTTCTCCGCGCGCGTAGTGATACATGGCGCTTAACACCCATGGCAAGCCGAGTCCCAAAAACACATTGACGCTGTTGCTCCCTATACAAGGAAAAATTGCAACACGTTTACTGTGTATGCGTGCGTGTGTGTGCGTGCGCGCGTGCGCGTGCGTGTGCGTGCGTGCGTGCGTGTGCGTGCGTGTATGCGTGTGTCTGTGCGTGCGTGCGTGCGTCTGTACGTGAGTGCGTGTGTGTATCATACAAGCTGCTGCTCAGGGGCGGATCCAGGATTTTTGAAAAGGGGGTGTCCAGGAAGAAATAAAGGGCACTTTTTCCTGCTTACTTTTAGGCCACTTAGGGGGGTTTGGGGGACCTCCCCAAGATTTTTTTTTAAAATTGGTGCATTCTGAGAGCATCTGAGCAGTAATTTTGATGTCTAGAATGCAAAAATTTCAGTATCAGATCCGGTCCCCCGGACGCCTGCGGACCCCTCTTTGCCCATTTCTAGGTTTTTATAACGAATTTACATATATATAAATAAATCTTTATCAGAAAAACTAGCGCTAAACAAGATTTTTTTATGGAATAAAAGAGAAGTGTGTGTGTGTGTGTGCTTTTTTTTTCCTTTTTTGTGGTAAAAAGGAGGGGTCCGGACGCCCTCGACCCTCCCCCTCTTGATCCGCCCCTGCTGCTCCGCGTCACGATACGATGTTAGCAGGAGTACATTAACAGCTGATGAACACGATAACAAACATGGCGCGCTATGTATTTCACTTGCCCATTATATTTCCGATGGACGCGTCGGCGAATTTGTCTTGCATAGCCGCCGTCCGACTGGCGAATGTGTCAGGAAGA